ATCTCTACAATGCCTACAGGTACACGAGGGGTTTTCTATAATGTAAAAGAGAATTGAAAACAAGCAAGAAGTCTGCAGCATCGTTTATTGGTGTTTAGACCAGTGAACACATACTAGCTCAGATCTTATCCAGGAGTAAGTTAAGCCAGGAATAATTGTTTCAGATGTGCAAGTACTTTAATGTAATATTTTGCATACTTAGAGTCATCGAGTCACTGGCTTTTTAACAATTCACCAAGTTAGTCTAGTTTTGCATTGGTCAGCCATACAAGTCAACGTTTTTTATATGACAGGTCATATAAACAAGTCAACACTTTTTATGTGACTAAAACTGAGGCCTCGTGAAGATGGGGGCCCATCAACTCTGCGATGAGACAGTTCTTGCAACTCTTCTGTGATGCAGATTCGTACGGGTTTTCGCCCTTTCTTTTTTTTCTCTCTGCTCTGATGGTGGAGGCTCTCAAAGCAGCCATCCCAGGCAGTGCTAGCAGCGACGTCCGCGTGCTGCTCCGGGAAGGCTTTTGCCCAGGCTGCCGAATTTCATGTTTCCATGCGCTCCGGGGCCGTGTGGTTGGAGGTACCCGGTGCTGCTGCCACCTCCCCGGGCAGCTGGGGGTTACTGGTGCTGATGGCTAGAAGTCAAAAGCAGCACTCTAGCCAACGGCTGCCTAAATCCCTTGTCATGTAAAAATATAGAAGGCCCTGGCCTTGAAAAGATGGTTCACTATCCAGTTTGCTGCTTTATGGGGTAAATAATTAAAAGAGAGAAAGCATTAGGGGAAAAAAAAAAACTTCTATGTAAGAACTGGCACATCTTAATTCTCAAATAGTTGCCTTCTATCACAAACACATCTCTGAGGGTTTTCCTCCAAGTATTTGGAAGAACGTTCTTAAAACAATTAGCCTTTTAAAAGTAAGGATAATTAATACTTTGAACCGTTAACGAGTGGCTGAGATGAATTTCCCATCACTGACAGTTCTTAAATTAAGATCAGATAGTTCTTCGAGGAAAAGAACTGAGAAAAGCCTCGTAGGAGCAAGCTGAGGGGAATCTGACAACCCGTGTGATGCGGATCACAAGCGATGCCACTGGCCTCAGAATCTATGAATAACAAATGTTCCTATAATTGAGTTTTCCAGGCGCCAGGGTCCGTGTGGCTCAGCGCTGCACATGTGGCTGTTTGCTTTAGAGCAAGTTGTGTATTTATATAGCCGAGGAAAACCAATAAGCTCCATGGCTTGCATCTAGCCGGTGTTTAGAGAAGCAAATGGCAGCTACTGAATGTTTGCAAAGAGCCAGTCCTGATCAGCTGGGCTCTGCTGGTCGATATTTGCTAGGCCTAAAAATGAGGTAGAATTTACCCAGGAAATTATTCATTGCAAATGTTACACTGCTCTTTAAACTTCTGCGTATATTTATAGTGGCTGTTTCATGCTCATCGCTGAGAACCTGCCTGTGGAAAATCGTGCTTGTGAAAATCATAAATATTTCTTTTTGCAACAGATAAATTTTACTCTTCCATAATGTAAGCTAAAATCTCAGGGAAATATTCATTGTGTAAGTGGACTGTGTCAGCTCAATGAGCAACTCTTGCTATCAGTAACTCAATTTTTTTAATTTGTGCTTATGTAAGACATCTGTTATTCTCTCTCTTAAGTATGAGTCACTGTAGGTTTCTGTTTGACAATGTGGTCTCTGTATGTGAAAAAAAACATTTACTTTGCTTTGCAGGTTAGATAGAAAGCAGGGCAATTTCCCAATTATGTTACTGTTCTGCTCATTACCTAATATTTATGTCTGATACTTCTGTTTATGTGATCAGATCCTGAACTGTCCATCTCTATCTTATGTTGCTATGACACTCAGTTTGTAGTAGTTAGTAATGTTGGCAGAGCAATAGAAATGCAGAGGAACCATGTGAAATTAAGTATACCATATATATGTGTGTGTGTAAGATATTTTTTTACATCCCTCCTTCTCTGAGTCTTGAGAGGTGTATGTAAAGATATCGATATTTATGTTTTCATACTATTTTATCAACAGTGATTGAGTATGGATAGTTTAGGACCAGTCAAAAGAATCAGTTAGTCAAACTACTGCTGTTATAAACTCATAGACCTTTGATATGGGTGTCCTAGAACTGCTCTAGTACTTTTATATGTGCTCAGAGCAGAAAAAAGTCACATTATTGCTGTGTTCGGTAGAGGACCTGCATCCAACAGGACTATCCACATGAACACCCTGGGGTGTAGATCTGTGGTGAGAACAGAGCAGGCATCCTGAATTGCAGTGGCTTTACAGCAGTGGAAGAAGGTTCTTTCCTGACCATTTGTTTTAATGCCCAAGAAAATCGTAGAAAAGAAAATAATACTCAAATAAAATGAACAGAAACCTGAGTTACGCT